ATGATCGCGTTGTTATCAGCTACATAAGTTGATTAAAAATTAATATCAGATGTACCTGATTTTTTAAAACGTCGCTAACATCCATGAAACAAGATGTAGGCTATTATATTACTCATTTCTCATATATTTTATATTATTGTTACTAAATATTGCCTATATTAACTAATAATATAAAATATTTGAGATGAGGTACGATTTAGGCGACCAGTACGCATTCGGCAACTCTCCTCTATAATATATATACATATGTATAATATATATAATATATATGTATATAATGGAACCATGTATCTCTCATTGTCAGTGCACATGCGACCGAGGAATGGTTAGATGCTGGCGCATGCACGAATATTCTTCAAAGTGCGACGAGGCTGGTGAGTACCGGCGCACAAAGCGTCCTGGATTCGCCCCTTTCGGTGTCAAGAAGCGTGAGAGACGGTCTTTCACGTAACGTGAATGAACGTCAAAATGTTTGTAGACTACGGTGGTAGCTGGCCACGGGCCCGTGGGTCCGTTTAATCGTTTGCACAGATGGCATTACGACGAATCTATCGGCCGCGTGCGCGAAGATCGTCTTTGAGATTATTCGTCAGTGAAGTTGCGGGACGTTTCTCAGCGACAAAGCCAAAAGCAAGATCGGGACTTATTCCGCAAGATTTGCATTTTGCGATCCGCCTATGGAAAATGGATGAAAATGAATCGCCAGAAAAATTCGTTATGTGAAATCGAATGGACAAGTACAAATACACAAGATTTCTCTTATATAAAAATTTAGTAAAGAAGAATAGAAAGTAGTGATTAATTACTTATTTTAAGTATTAAAAATATCGAATAGCAGTGCCTTTAATATCCAAAATAATTAATTAATTTGGATTTCTGTAAGGATTGAACAAAACGCGATTGCGAAATTCTAATTTTCGAAAAATTTGTATTTCGTAATATATATACGATTTTTTATTGTATTTTTTCTGCAGGACTTTCCATGTCTTAAAATTCTACACGTTAATCGTTCGAAAAACAGATCTAAGAAGAATATAGATTCTTGAGCTTACAATAATACGTTTTTCCAATTTCTTTCCGGATTTTTGCGAATCGATACTTGATTGATATTGTATAGCAGTTCAATTCGATGCAGTTTGCGATCTACATGTAGTTTAGTTGTATTTTCCTGACAGGAAGGCACAACGCGAGCGAAACGATACTATTGTACGAGGATTTTGGCGGATCATTCGATCCTCGATCGATCGCTCGATTGGGCGTTTACTGATCTTCGTTACATCGCTGCTGAAACGTGTAAGAGTCGGCTTGCGGACGAGCCCTTTTATTCTGTGTTTATTGATCGTTCGAGCGAACGATCGCCTCCTTGTTGGCGAGGATCAATGGCTTTCGTTGCCTTTCTAGCCGTAGATCCAGGCTTTACTTTCGTCCCCCTTCTCCCTCTATCCGGGGGTTCCAGCAGATACTTATGCCAAGTTGCACTTATATTGCAGGGAGAATTACAAAAGGGATCGATTTATCTTGAAAAGATCGCCGGATCTTCTAAAAAAAGAATTACATATATTAAATACATAACAAGTTTACTGTATAAATATATACTTATTATGGCGCTTTAATTATATGAAAGAAATAGCGTTTCGCTCAGTTTTTCATCTGCAATTTTTTATCTTCTATCTCACTTATCGTTTATCAACTACTTCACAATATACAATTTGTCACAATATACAATCCAAATGTTAATTTGTCGATTATAATAATAATATTATGTAAATCAAATAAGTAAAGAGAGCGTAAATATTATATAATTATAATATTATATAATAATAATAATATTATGAAATGTAAAAAAATTTGGCAATCTGCATCGTTATCACAGCATCAAGATAGCCTGATCTCGTTCTTTTAAGATTGAAAATCATGACAAATAATATTCGTCGAACGCATTAAAAATTAAGCAATTTACAATCTCGAGCTTCTCGGTGATTTGTCTTCAAACGGCATCCCTTGTTATTCGATAATTAGTTCCCTCCTCTGGTGTAACTCGGCGCGAAGCGAAGCGTATCCTCTGATTTTCCTTTGGCCGACTCGCGCCTTCTCCTCTCTACGACTTCCACTCCGAGACCGGCAACGTGGAAAATGCGAATTTACTGTAAATTAGTGAATTGGAAAATAACGGAATGGAAGCGCTTCTTTCCTGACGGACCTCACGACGATCGCGTTGTACGCGTAACAAGATCCGAGACCATAAATCATAATTAGTAAAACGGCGAAATTATCAGAGTCTATTTCAAAGTCAGCGATTAGCAAAAATATTTAAAAACTATTCTTTCAAAATTTTTCACTTAAAAGAATAACATAAATCTAGGCTATTAAAAAAGAAAAAAAAGATAAGAAAATAGATAACAGATAATTTTAAAAAGTGATATATTAATAAAAATCAATCCTCTTTAGTATAGACAGTGATGTTTCCACACATTTAACTTTAAACAATATTAAATTAATATACTTATGTATAATTGTACTTGTAATTACATTTCCTTTCTAATTAGTTTTCTATTTTCTACATTTTTCATTTTTAATAGTACAGATTTGTATTATTCTTTTCTTAATTGAGAAATTTCTGACTCGCTTTTTTCGAAGATGTACGCTAAAATGTATGTTAAAATTCAAGGGAGCTGATTCACGCTTCTTCGTAGAACTCGCCTAATTCGTGCATTATCGGCGCGTTAAACGACGCATCGATACACGAGTATATAATTGCCATCGGCTAATTATAGCCTTACCTAATTTTCCGTGCACGCGATACCAAAGAGCGATACGGGGCGCGTCTTTAATTACCGATCCATTTCTGCATAAATGCGCCGCGGAACGCAGCCTGCCTGAAACTCGCATTACCGGTGCCAGCTTATACGAACTACAGTAGTCTAATCAAACACGGAGCTATTAACCGGGTCAACATTTCGAGTTTGGGGTACTTAGTGCCAAAGACTTCGCAGTACCTATGTCAATGACGCACGCACACACACGCGTACGCGCGTACTCGAAGCGCACGCACACAGGCGCGCGCACTCATCGTCGAGTGCCAATGGCGAATGAGTAGCAAAGCGGTCGTGTCGGGCGGCCTTAAATAAATATCTAATGTGCCCAACCCCGACTGGAAACCCCCTCCCTCTGGTCGGTCCTCGCTAATATTGTTTTAGGCATAGCGAGGCAAGCTGAGTTTTGTAACTTGAGAAACGAGCGCGACTCGCGTGCAGAAGCGACGAGAAGACGACATAATAGCTAGGTGTTCGAAGATCTCGTCAAGCACTTAAGCTTGCGGATACTCGTACTGCACGATGATTACCAGCGTTTTCCTGAATATTTAGAGTATATAAATTCGCCTGAAAGAAAAATATCGGGGTCCTAACAGACTGGAGGGTGTAATCGTTTGAATTTCACCAAATGAGCTTCAAAGATAATAGATAGGAAGAACGTATTTGCTCCTGTAATTGTTGCAATAATATATTGATGCACGAAAAGGACTTTTTTATTGAAGTATCTAAAAATTTAGCTAATGATTTGAAAATAATTTTATTGGACCGTCAAAATAATTATGCAAGACAATTAGCTGGCTAATGCTAGAATGTTAAAACTTTTACAGCATTTTACATGCTTGATTCCTACGTAATTATTTTGATGGTTCAACAAAATTATTTTCAGATCTGTATATCTTGCTACATGTAAAAAATATCGTCTATTTGTGTTGGAAACGGTCCACTCATTTCTTGTTAAGAGTTTGTGTTGAATTTTTTAACATATTCGAATGTTAATTTAACATAATTCAACGTTTCTTAGTGTCAAAACATAATTTATGAGTAAGTGAACAAGTAACATAAAAATGTT